CCAGGAGGCCCCCAAGAGGCACCCAGGAGGCCCAAACGAGGCCTAAAGAGGCCACAAAACAGCCCCGAGGAGGCCCCACAACGGTCCCAAAACGGCTACCGAGAAGCTGCGAAACTGCCTTCACGACGTCCCCGACAGGCCAACCACGAGATCCAAACCAACACCCATGAGGCCTCTGACCCACCACCCAGGGCACGGTGGCGGGAGCAGTGACAGCACTTGTGTACAGCATGTTCTGGCGGGAGCCTTCCGGAACATGCTGCAGGAGGAGGAGGTGGAGGAAGATCAGGAATAGAGAGAGTTGGAGTGGGAGGAGGAGGAGGAGGAGGAGGAGGAGGAGGAGGAGGAGGAGGAGGAGGAGGAGGAGGAGGAGGAGGAGGAAGAGGCCTCCTAGACAGCTCCAAGATAGCCAAAGAGGCTTCCAAGAGGGCCCTGGGCGGCCCACGAGGGCCCCAAGGCGGTGCCTGAGGCGCCCAAGACGGCCCGAGAGGGCCCCAAGACGGCCCCAAGAGAGGCCCAAGAAGGGAAACACGAACCGAGAATCCGAGCTTTCTACCCCGAGAGGTTCTCGGGAAGTCCCAAGAGGCCCCCAATCGGATCCAAGAGGCCCCCAAGAAGCTCCCAAGAGGGCCGACGAGGTTCCAAGAGATCTCCCAAGGTGGCCCCAAGAGGCACAACTCATTGTTTTACGATGGGGCTTTGACGGGTTTAATTTTTTTGGCCTTTTGGCATCCCGATGCTCCAAGACGGCCCAAGATGCTTCCAATACCGCTCCCATATAGAGAAAGAGGCCTCCAAGAGGGCCCCAAGACGGCCCGCGAGATCCCCAAGACGGTGCTTGAGGCGCCCAAGACGGCCCGAGAGGGCCCCAAGAGCCCCAAGAGAGGCCCAAGAAGGGGAACGCGACCCAACAGCAGAGCGTTCCCCCCAAAAGGCCCACAGGAGGCCGCAAGAGGCCCCCAAGTGGTCCGACGAGGACCCCGAAAGCTTCCCGAGGGCCTAAAAGGCCCCTAGGAGACGTCCAAGAGGTTTTAAAATAGCCCAAGATCATCCAGCGCCCCCCGGCCTGGGCTAGCACCTGAGCGCGCGCTCAGGATGGCCTGGACAGTATGCCCGGGCCCGGGCATACTGTCCTGAGTCCTGAATGGATGAGCATATAACCCAAATCCACAATTCCCGGATTCCTTGGGGCCTTCGGAGACTCCGCGAAAACGTTAAGAAGCCGGGAGGCGCGGTACCGGCCAGATGTCAGGGGATACGTAGGACCCCCGAGTAGGAATTCCATTTGAGGAAAAAAATGAATTCTTGGAATTCCCTCTTTTTTCACAAATCCTCGATCGTTGAAGACTGGAAGCGGTATAACGTGAGAAGGCGAAAAACATAGGAAAAACCATCGGAAATCAACGATGTTACCCTCTTTGGGCTCTCTCGGGACGGCTCTCGCAGCTCTCTTGGGCTGTTCTTGGAGCCTCGTCGGGGTCTCTTTGGGGCCTCTCAAGGATCGGGGTTGTGTTGGGGGCCTCTGGGGGTCCCGGAGGCCTCTCGGAGGTGTCTGGAAGCCTCCTGCTCCCGCTCTGGGGCCCATCATGGGCCTGTTCTGGGGTGTTCTGGGGCTGTGCTGGGCGCCTCTTCGGCAGTCTTGGAGCCTTCTTGGCCCGTCTTGGGGCCGTCCTGACTGGGAGGTTTGGTTGCAGATGAATGACATATAGTATATCAACGTAACTTGTGGATGACTTCTGGAACCTGTATGGCCATACAGAAAAGTAACTTTATGTTAATTTGAGCGAAATATATAAGTTCCATAAGTTCCATAAGTTCCCCCGCCGCAGTTTTCATACCATGTAAAACATATGATAAATCCATGTAAAAAAACATGTACAACTGCTTAAAAGCAGCAAAGGACAACTGTGGCGGGGGAACTTATTCATACCAAACCCGTATGTCACTCAGGGGCGTCGTGTCGTTTCCACCAACCGTTTTGGCTCGAGCCTGCATCAGGTTTCGGACCCCAGCGCCGCGATTCTACCAGTGGCGTTGAAGCCATGCGCTGGGGCTCGGCAGCACGAGCATCGAAGGAGCCAGAGGAGGAACCAGCAGCAGCAGGCGCAGCGCCAGCAGCAGCAGGCGCAGCGCCAGCAGCAGCAGGCGCAACGTCAGCAGCAGCAGGGCGCAGGGCGCAGCGCGGCGACGAGCCGGCAGCGCTGCAGGAGCGCTGCACGAGATTGCTAGACATCTTGACGCCAGGCGCAGCGCCAGCAGGCGCAGCGGTCGACCAGGCTCAGCACCAGCAGGCGCAGGCGCCGCACCAGCAGGCGCAGCACCACGCGCCACCAGACCAGGAGGAGCACCAGCAGGCGCAGGCGCCGCACCAGCAGGCGCAGCACGAGCTGACGCAGCACCAAGCGCCAGCAGCGCCAGGAGCACCAGCAGCGCCAGCAGCACCAGACCAGGAGGAGCGCCAGGAGCTTGACCAAGCGCCAGCAGGCGCAGCACCAGCAGA